GACTGCATGAGTTCAAGAGTTGAAGCTGCAGTGAGTTGTGATCATACCACTGCATTCCAACCTGGGTGACAGAGCAAGTACCCTGTCTCAATAAAAATAAATAGTCCACGTGTGGTGGCTCACACCTGTAATCCTAGCACTTTGGGAGGCTGAGGCGGGCAGATCACTTGAGCTCAGGAGTTTGAGACCAGCCTAGGCAACGTGGAAAAACCCATCTCTACAAAAAATACAAAATTAGCCAGGCGTGGTGGCATATGCCTGTAGTCCCAGCTACTCAGGAGGCTGAGGCATGAGAATCATTTGAACCTGGAAGGCAGAGCTTATAGCGAGCTGAGATGGTACCACTGCACTGTAGCCTGGGTGACAGAGCAAGACTCTGTCTCAAAAAAAAACCAAAAAATACATGACGTCCTAAAGGAGAAAACCAAATGTCTTGTGCTTACAGCACTGAGCAGAAACCACTGTCTGCGGGGGACCGGCACTTTGTCTTCTCTCCCTTATTAAGGAATGTTCCTTACATTTACTTTGTTTTGCTTGGGCCACATTGGCCTTCAGCAAGTCAAAGGAAATCATGTTAGCAGCCCTGTTTGCTGTGACTCAGGTCCTCCGCCCCACGCCTGTGGTCTCCTGCTTCTCACAGTCACTATCCCTGCTGCACGCTCCCTCTCCATTTCTCATTCCTGCTGCCACTGCTGGGCCTCTGCTGTACTGGCCGCTAAGCAGAGCCAGAGCTGCTTTCCCAAGTGATCATGCAGCTTCGGTCAAACCTTGCAGGATCAAGTGCTTAGGGAGCCAGAAATTGAAGAAGGGGCGCATAATTTGGGACTTCCTCTTTATGCTTCACTCTCCCTTCTACCACTGAACATAAAGGAAGTCCCCGAGGAGTGAATTAAAAAAAAAAAAAAAAAAAACTGAAGAATAACATCTATATCAGTTGTCAAACTCTACCAGAACCCATCAGGAACCAGGCTTCAGAGAGGGCCCTCAAATCCGAAGGCACCAGAGCAATGTATTGACTTTGTCAGCTGAGTTCTGTCCCTGAGTTAGAACTCCCCAGGCTCCAGTTAACTCTGTCATGGCGATCACGCAGGCAGCCAGCCAGCCAGCCAGCCGTGCTTCTGTGAGAAAAAAAAAACGTTTAGAAGATGTGATCTTACATCCAGGCGTGGTGCCTCACACCTGTAATCCCAGCACTTTGGGAGGCCAAGGCGAGTGGATCACCGGAGTCAGGAGTTCAAGACCAATCTGGCCAACATGGTGAAACCCCATCTCTACAAAAATTAGGCAGGAATGATGGCGGGTACCTATAATCCCAGCTACTTGGGAGGCTGAGGTGGGAGAGTCGTTTGAACCCGGGAAGGGGAGGTTGCAGTGAGCCGAGATCACACCACTATACTCCAGCCTGGGTGACAGAGACTCTGTCTCAAAAAAAAAAAAAAATTTATGTGAATTTCAGTGTAATGCTCTTTTATCTGTCAAATATGTGTTTAGGGCAGGGGTAATCGGAGGAGATTCCACATATGATTTTTCAAAAAGTATTCTGTTAAAAAGTTTGCAGAGCCGTTTCCAACATCCTGAAAGACACTTGCTACGAACCCAAGCCAGTGGTGCAGATTTGGGTGCACAGTTTTTTGGGGGGTTTTGTTTTGTTTTCTTTTTGAGACAGAGTCTCGCTCTGTCACCCAAGCTGGAGTACAGTGGCACAGTCTCAGCTCAGTGCAAAACCTCCACATTCCAGGTTCACGCGATTCTAGTGACTCAGCTTCCCGAGTAGCTGGGATTACAGGTATGTGCCACCACAACTGGCTATTTTTTGTATTTTTAGTAGAGATGGGGTTTTGCATGTTGGCTAGGTAATGGCAACAGGAGGCAGCCAAATGCCTAGGCAGATAGGGGCAAGTCAATGGTGAAACCCCACCGCCAAGCCAAGGACAGTTTAAAGCCTAAAAGCCAAGCTACAAGTTAAATCGTCGACCAGAGACGGAGAACTTGTCTTCCCTTTTCTTCTGATTGATCCTCATCCTTCACCAATTGTACATACACCTACCCTTTCCTAATTGGTTTTCTACACTGTCATGCCCACCTTGGAGTGGTATCTTCACTTTAACCTTTTTTGGATCCTCACAAACCAGTCAGCATGCACTCCCCATTCTGAGTCCATAAAAGGTCCCAGACTCAGCAGCACAGATGGAGAAACCACCTGACTACAGGGATGGGGGACCACCCTCCCCCCATGGCCCCCAGCATCCCCTTTCCACTGAGAGCTATTCCATCACTCAGTAAAACTCCCCACCTTGCTCATTCTTCTTGGGTTAGGGACAAAAGCTCAGGAATTGGTGCACAGGCCAGACTCAACCCAGGTAGGCTGAGTGGGCTGGCTGTCTCTTGCAGCAGGAGAAGGAGGCCTGGGTAGGATACCACTGGCTGGAGATCCCTGGCTTGCAAAGTGATTAATCAGAAAATCATGCATTACAGACTGGCCTCAAAATCCTGGGCTCAATCCTTCTGCCTTGGCCTCCCAAAGTGATGGGATTACAGGCATAAGCCACCTCACCTGGCACACAGTTTTCAGGTCTTTTCGGAGAGTAAGTCTTTCCCTCCTCAGAACACCTCCTCTAGACTTTGAGGACAAGAGCATCATCCCTTCTCTCTGTTCAAAGTTGTGCCAAGGACCCAAACGTTAGCCATAAAATTTCCTCTAGTTCTCCCAGATGCTCAGGGCTTCTCTGGCCTGCCAGATCGGTCAGAATTCTCAAGGTAGGTCTGCCCTCTGGAGATTCTGTGCCCACATGTCCCCAGTACCATGGCTATTTTCTGTTTCAGTCTTGGTTCAGTCTCCTGGCATTCATTTTGTAGATCCTCTTTCCACTCTATTTTTTTAAACCTTATTTTAGGTGTGGGGGCACATGTGAAGGTTTGTTACATAGGGAAACAGACATCAATTACGTATTATTTCATCACTGGGGTATTAAGCCCAGTACCTAGTAGTGATTTTTTTTTTTTTTGCTCCTCTCCCTCTTCCCACCCTCCCCCATCAAGTAGACCCCAGTGTCTGTTGTTTCCTTCTTTATGTCAATGTGTTCTTATCATTTAGCTCCCACTTGTGAGAACATGTCACATTTGGTTTTCTGTTCCTGTGTTAGTTTGCTAAGGATAATAACCTTCAGTTCCACACTATTTTTCAACTGACGAAAAAATATTTTTACTAAATGCTGAATAGATTTAAAAAATTATAAAATACGAGGAGGCTGAGACAGGAGAATTGCCTGAACCCAGGAGGCGGAGGTTGCGGTGAGCCGAGATCGCGCCATTGCACTCCAGCCTGGGTAACAAGAGCGAAACTCCATCTCAAAAAAAAAAAAAAAAAAAATTATAAAATACGTATATAGGGTATAAAGAATCATCTGATGAACACCTGTGAACCCACCCTTCAGTTAAACAAAAATCATATTAGAATTAATCCTGCAGTCCCCAGGATATTTCTCCCCAAACCCATTTTCTTTTCTCCCAACTCCAAGGCAAACACTAGCTGAATTTTGTGCTTACCATTTTCTTGTGTTTGACAGATTTCCTACATATGTTTGAATCTGCAAACAATGTATTGTTCAGTTTGGTATGTTTTTAAACTTTATATAAATTGATTCATATGATATATATATACCCTGGAAACAATGTTTTTGAAATTCGCCTATATTATTGCAAATAGCTACAACTGATTGTTAAAATGCTTTATAGTATTCATGTATCATAGTTTTTAAAATCCATTTTACTCTTGACATCTGTGCTGTCAGTGATCTCTATCATGAATGGTGCTGCTATAAACATTCTTGTACATATCTCCTGGTATACATTTACAGGAGCAGCTCTTGTAGTGAAATTTCTGTGTCAGTGTGTGGAAACATGTTTAAATTACCAAGATAATTCTAAACCATTTTCCAAAGTGGATGTTCCAATTTATACTCCATGATCAGTAACCATCTCATTCATTGTTCAACTTTGTAATCTTTATCAGCCTGGTAGATATAAAATGGTATTTTCTTGTAGTTTTGTTTACCAGGTTGTCAAAGAGGCTTAGGGTATTTTCACATGCTCACTGACCGTTTGTTATTCTCCTTCTTGAAGTGCTCCTTCTGGGCTAACTCTTCAGTGAAGGATGTGGGCACAGGCCCTCAAGTACAGATGGCCCAGAGTTAGTTTCTCAGGTCTCCCCATGACAGAGTAGAGGCCCTCCTAGCTGCTTGCATCCCACCTTACTCAGTGACCCTCCCTCAAAACAACTGTCAGGGCCAGGCATGGTGGCTCATGCCTGTAATCCCAGCACTTTGGGAGGCCAAGGCAGGTATATCACCTGAGGTCAGGAGTTCCAGACCAGCCTGGCTAACATGGTGAAACCGTGTCACTGCTAAAAAAAAATATATATATATATATATATATATATATATATATATACACACACACACACACACACATATATAATTAGCAGGGTGTAGTGGCGCATGTGTGTAATCCCAGCTACTTGGGAGGCTGAGGCAAGAGAATCTCTTGAACCCAGGAGGTAGAGGCTGCAGTGAGCTGAGATCACACCATTGTACTCCAGCCTGGGCAACAAGAGTGAAAATCTGTCTCAAAAACAAAACAAAACAAAAACAAAAAACAAAACTCAAGTGGTCTCTGTCTCCTAAGACCAGCTCCAGCAAACAAGAGTTGAAGCTCAGGATCCAGGCTGCTCTGTGGCCCACAACCCAGTGGAGTCAACAGGCCAAGACCTTTCTGTCCGGTGGCCAGCGCTATGCCTGCAGGCCACTCACACGGAAGATGCTACTTAGAACTCTCCACTGGGCACCCTCAGAATTGCACAAGTTTCTTCTGTTACTAGTTCATCCAGAGTTATGATGCCAGCACTTCAAGCCCTGGTTAATCGTTGGATCAACAAGTACCCAACTAGGTGCTAGAGAAACGGAAAAAGGCACTTAGGCCCAGCCCTCAAACTGGATCAGGTACGGTGACGGTGGTCCACACCTCACCTACTCTCTCTGCCCTGACACAAGCCCCAGGCTTGCACTGAACTGTGAGCTGTAGGAAGTCCAGGTCCCGGTTGCAGCCACAGGGGAGTCAGATGCATCACGTGACCGTGCGGGGTGGAGGGAGGTTGAGTCGCGCGGCTGAGACGCCAGGCGGTCACCTAGCAACAGCGAGCGGCAGAGCAATGGAGACCCGTAGCAGAGAGCTCCAAGCCGCGGAGTATTTGGAAAAGCATCGGATCAAGGAGCTGGTGAGCTACCTCACCAGCGCCCTTCTATTTTTCCGGCCGGGTAAGCGCCCTCTGCCCCGGTACAGCCCTCCCTCCACGCGGGGCTTGCTTTCCTCATGAAACCCCCTCTCGCACACCAGTTCTGCCTGCCTCCCAGACACTTGAACCTTTCTGCTGGTTATTAACTCTGTGACCTTCAATTAAACAACTTCTTGGGGTTTTTTTGGAGACGGAGTTTTGCTCTTGTTGCTCAGACTGCAGTGTAGTGACGCAATCTCGGCTCACTGCAACCCTCACCTCCCGGCTTGAAGTGATTTTCTTGCCTCAGCCTCCCGAGTAGCTGGGATTATGAGCGTGAGCCACCACGCCCAGCCAATCTTTGTATTTTCAGTAGAGACGGGGTTTCACCATGTTGGCCAGGCTGGTCTCGAACTCAGAACCTCAGGTGATTTGCCCGCCTCGGCCTCCCGAAGTGCTGGGTTTACAGGTGTGAGCCACCGCGCCCAGCAGTGTTGGTTTTTTTAGATGGAGTTTTGTTGGAGTGCAATGGCGCAATCTTAGCTCACTGTAACCTCTGCTTTCTGGATTCAAGCAATTCTGCCTCAGGCTCTGGAGTAGCTGAGATTATAGGTGCCTGCCACTACGCTGGCTAATTTTTGTATTTTGGTAGAGACGGGGTTTCATCATGTTGGTCAGGCTGGTCTTGAACTCCTGGCCTCAGGTGATCTGCCTGCCTCGGCCTCCCAAAGTGCTGGGATTATAGGTGTGAGCCATGGCACAAGGCTGAAGTTTTCAATCTGATAAGACAACTGAACAATTGATAGGGTAGGATAGATGTTCTAGAGATTGCTTTTCCTGCCCCCCACCTTTTTTAAACACATCTGAACCCCCTACAAAATTTGAATCCTTTTGTAATTTGGGGGTGATATATCATTTAAAAGTTATATTAAGATGAAAATGGTTTTATGTCCTCCCCAGGGTGCAGAATTTTAATTTGCCTGCGTCCATATGGAGCGTCAAAAATGCCAGAATTATCGATTTGCTTCTGTGTAAGGAAATGGAAATACCAAGCACTCCAACTTTGCCAAAAGAAACACCCAACCAGTATGATCATGTATAGGGTGATAAAGTTCTTGCTAGTTGTTTTACATTATTAAATATTAAAAAAAAAAAAAAAAAAAGCCAGGCACGAGATGGTGCCAGTGCACTCCAGCCTGGGCAAGAAAGTGAGATTTCATCTCAGAAAAATAAAAATTAAAAAATAGGCCAGGTGCAGTGGCTCAGGCCAGTAATCCCAACACTTTGGGAGGCTGAGGCAGGGAGATCACTTGAGATCAGGAGTTCAAGACCAGCCTGGCCAACCTGGTGAATCCCTGTCTCTACTAAAAATACAAAAATCAGCCGGGCGTAGTGGCAGGCGCCTGTAATCCCGGCTAGTCCTAAAACTGAGTCAGGAGAATCATAAACCCAGGAGGCAGAGGTTGCTGTGAGCCAAGATCGCACCATTGCATTCCAGCCTGGGCAGCAGTGAAACTCTGTATCTAAAAACAACAAACAAAAACAAAACTCTGTGATAAAATAGAAATTGAAAAGAAAGAAATGAATTCCTTTTTTTAAAAAAAATGTACTGAAGAGGCTGTGCGCAGTGGCTCATGCCTGTAATCCCAGCACTTTGGGAGTCCAAGGTAGGCAGATCACGAGGTTAGGAGTTCAAGACAAGCCTGACCAACATGGTGAAACCCTGTCTCTACTGAAAATACACCATTAGCTCAGCATGGTGTCACATGCCTGTTATCCCAGCTACTCTGAGGCTGAGGCAAGAGAATCGCTTAAACCTGGGAGGCAGAGGTTGCAGTGAGCCAAGATCATGCCACTGCACTCCAGCCTGGGTGACAGAGGAAGAACTCCGTCTCTGGGGGTAGGGGGGGAAATGTACTGGAGAAAAGTTGCTATCAAACTAAATTTTTAAAAACCTATTTTTTGAAAAAGTGACTGCTGTCTTTTAGTAGTGCTGGGTACTGTAATGTTGAAAACAGTCTGGGCTGGAGGTGGTGGCTCATGCCTCTAATCCCAACACTTTGGGAGGCCGAGGCAGGAGGATCACTTGAGCGCAGGAGTTCTCAGACCAGTCTGGGCAACACAGCTGAGACCTCTCCTCTACTAAAACTAAAAAAATTATCTGGGGCATGGTGGCACATGTCTGTGGTACCAGCTACTTAGGAGGCTGAGGTGTGAGGCTCGCTTGAGCCTGGGAGGTTGAAGCTGCAGTGAGCCATGATTGCACCTCTGCACTCCAGCCTAATATTACACATCAAGACAAATGTTAGACCAAATGCATGGTGGCTCACACCTGTAATCCCAACACTTTGGGAGGCTGTGGTGGGCAGATCGCTTGAGTTTAGGAGTTCATAGACCAGCCTGGGCAACATGACGAAACCCCATCTCTACCAAAAATACAAAAAATTAGCTGCACATGGTGGTACATGCCTATACCCAGCTACGCTGGAGGCTGATGTGGGTAAATCTGGGAGGCGGAGGTTGCATTGAGCCGAGCTTGCTAGTCAGGCGGGGTGTCAGTGTAAGACTTCATCTCAAAAAAAAATTTAAAAAGACAAATATTACTTTTCCTCATAGTAATAAGGGATATATTATGGTACATTCATTATATAAAAATATTTGTCAACGTTTATTTTTCAATTTCATTTTTATCAAAATGGATATATGGGGTTTAAAAACTGAAAAGTACTCCAAAGCTTATAATGAATAACAACAGCATTCCCATCGCCATCCCCAGCTTCTACTGTATAGAATAATTTCAACTGTTCAAGCAATATTCTTTGCTATTTATCTTGAGATTTCTAAATAACAGACCTATATTGCTGCTAGTGTTTCTCCCTCTAGGTTTAGATATTAGCATTATGCTGTGGAAGATGAAAATGCGGCTATCTTAAATTAACATACACCTCGTACACCTGTTGCCATTCACACCCATCTTCTGGATAAATTTACAATTTTGCTATCCTCAGTATTCAGAATTTTTATTATTAGGCAAGTATCCATAACTAATCCTTATACTATGCTGATTATATTTGTTTTCCCTGGTTATTAATATGTTTAAAATTTTGGTTTCCATTTGTGTGATCATCACTAGTTCATCATATCCTCTTTTGCCACAATACAGGTCTACTCTCATTACATTTGCATTCATTGGGTAATTGCCCCCCCACCACCACCCCACCTCTGCACCCCTAGCTCTGTCTTCCTGCTCCAGTCTGCACTGACTGCTACAGTGGTTATTCACGGCTTCCCCTCACTCTGATCCTAAAACAATTCCTCGCCTCTCTCTAGTGCTCGGAGCCTGTTTCATGGCACAGCCAGCTCTACCTGATTCTTGCTTTACCCCTTTCTTCTGGTGCAGCCTGTCCTTTAGCAGCTTCCTGAGAGAGTGTACTTTGAGGAGTAAAGATTTTGGGAACTCACATAAATGAAAATGTGAGTTCCTACATGTAAAGCTTTAATAAACCAAGTGGAGGCTGAGCACAGAGGCTCATGCCTGTAATCCCAGCACTTTGAGAGGACAAGGCGGGCAGATTACTTGAGGTCAGAAGTTCAAGACCAGCCTGGCCAACATGGTGAAACCTCATCTCTACTAAAAACATAAAAATTAGGCAGGTGTGGTGGCGCACATCTGTAATCCCAGCTACATGGGAGGCTGAGGCAGGAGAATCAGCTGGACCTGGGAAATGGAGGTTACAGTGAGCCAAGATTTCACTGTTGCACTCCAGCCTGGGCAGCAGAGCAAGACTCTGTCTCATAAAATAAAATATAGAGTGGATACAATTTTAAGTTGGAACATACTACCCTCAGAATTTTTAAGGCATTGCTCCATTATCTTCTAATTTCTCATGTTGCTCTGAAGAATTTTGATGTCATATGTCATCAGATTCTTGATCTGGGTATGAGACAAGTTCATTCTTTCTGGAAACTTTTTAGGATTTTTTTTTTTTAATCTTATCCCTAGTGACCTGAATATTTTCATGCCTTGGAATGGTTTTCTTCTTGTTGTTGTTAATGTATTGTTCTTTGGGTACTTCACCGTCTTCTTAAATTTGAGACATTTTTCTTTCAAGTTTAGGAAGTATTTTCTTATTTTCCTTACCTATATCTTTCTTTTTGGAATTGTTATTAATTGGATATTGGACATCTTGTCTTGATTCTCTAATTTTCTTTACATCTTGATATGTTGTATGATAATCTTTATCAGAAGAATGCAATTTATGAATCTACTGCAGTTTCTCTTGAGAATTTACCAGATTGTTATTTTGATGCCCCTCATTGGCATATGCTTAGATTTCCTGTCTTCATTAGTGCTTCTTTATGGGTAAGATGACTGTATGAGTTATCATTCCAAACCAGGGATATTTTGAGTGAAAACAGGTGCTATTAATAATTATGCCAGGACAACATAGTAAACTAAGACTGTCCCAGGCCAACTGGAACATTCGATTAGTTTGAGTATGGGTATCTTAAACCTGATATGAAAACAAAAACAGTTTAAAATTCAAAAACAGACTGGGCGCCATGGCTCATGCCTGTAATTCCAGCACTTTGGGAGACCGAGGCAGGTAGATCACCTGAGGTCAGGAGTTCGAGACCAGCATGGCCAATGTGGTGAACTGCTGTCTCTACTAAAAATTAGTGCTAGCTTTGGTAGCACTTATACTAAAATTGGAATGATACAGAGAAGATTAGCATGGCCCCTGCGCAAGGATGATGCAAATTCATGAAGCGTTTCATATAAAAAAAAAAAAAAGAAAAAAATACAAAATTAGCCATTTGTGGTGGCATGTGCTTTTAATCCCAGTTACTCAAGAGGCTGAGGCAGGAGAACCCGGGAGGCAGAGGTTGCAGTGAGCTGAGATCGTGCCACTGCACTCCAGCCTAGATGACAGAACAAGACTCTGTCTCAAAAAATAAATTGAAAAGACAAAAGCACCATGGCAGCCAGTGGATCAACTGAATGAAAAATTGGGGGTTTTTTGAGACAGTTTCACTCTTTTT